CCAGTCGTCCACCACCGTCTTTCGGCCCCCCACCACCATATATATTTTGAAATACATTATTTTCAATTTACTTCAAAAAAAAAAAATAATAAAGTCTTTTGTTTCTTTTACAGTGAATCAAACAGCTAAAATATTTCAAATATATTGTAATCAGAGTACTGTCCAAATCATTTATTTTGCATTTCATTTTTGACAATCTTTATTTAAAAAAGTGTGCTATGGTTTCGCGTTTTCAAAGCTAGTAAATTTGCATCTTTACATCATACTAAATCCTTAAATTTTATAAATATAAAAATTAAATTTAGATATTAATATGTAAATACATTAAAATTTTGGGGTGAATATGTTAACAAAACTTGATTGTTTCTAAATTTTATTTTCTTTATAAAAAAGGAAGACACCAGCCGACCTTTCTTTTATGTTTATAAGTTAATTATAGAGTATTCATAACCTTGAAAAAATGATCTCTTTAACTACTAGGCCAAATATTCTTCCACGCCAGCCCATTTAATCTCCATTTTTTCAACCTCCAGTGAATTTAGTCCCAAACTAACGAACATACTAAAATAAATATAATGTCTCCAATCTATTATATAGATAAACTATTATCTAGATATAAATCTCATAAATTAACCTAAAACATATTTGTATTTACAATTCATTCATGCAATTTCATTTGCATGTCTACATTTTGAGTATTTAGAATACTAATATGGAAAAAATTAACTTATTATGTCATATAATTGATGGAATTAGAAAAATAAACCCACTTTAAGGGTCTGTTTGGGGCAACTGTAGCTTATTGAATAATCTGTTGATAAGCTGATTAAAAATAATCTGCTGATAAGCTAGGTGCGGTGGCTATTACAATTTTTTTATTTTTTTGGAAAATTCTGACTGTAGCCAGAAAACTGTCACTGCACCTAGAAATGTGCGGTGTGAAAACACTGTTTTCAGCGTTTTGAAAATACATAAGCTGCCAAAATGTAGTTTACCCAAACAAGTCAGATGCGTTTTCAAAGCGTCACCGCGCCAAATAAGCTGCCCCATAGTTTACCCAAACAAGTCAGATGCGTTTTCAAAGCGTCACCGCGCCAAATAAGCTGCCCCAAACGGACCCTAAATAATCTCTTGATGACAATTACAATATTTTAAAGATTATTTTACTTTTATGATTGAAGTCATTTTCTATAACTCATGCATATTACATTTATTATATTGTATCAATGTTTTCTCCAAGTACAAGAAAAGTCTTTTTTTATGACTATAGCTCATATTTGTAGAACAATTTTAATTAGGCTATGCCCTGTGATTTTTTTGTTTGATTTTTTAAATAAATAATTTCATGTCTCCTAGGAATTCTTCTTTAATTCATTTTATATATGTATGTGGGTGGTCTTTATATAATATTCACGCTATAAAATCTCTTTTATATTATGAATACTTTAACATAGAATAATTCTATTTTTTCTTGAGCATAAATAATGTGAATGTAATACTTACATCCTCTACTTATATCACTTTGATTATGAATAAAAACCAACAAATATTGTACTCATGTCAAAGCTATTTAAAAAGGAGCAAAATTAAAAATATATAAGGAAAATTATTTAAATTGGTAGAGAAAATTTAAGTGAGTGCAATTTCACCAATGAAATTTGACTTCTTATGTACTACAACACGGATATTTAAACAAATAGTCTCATTATATTTTTATTGTGTAAATATACTTCAAAATACTTTTAGATCAAAATACTCCTAATGAGATATAAACTCTGATATTTGTAGAATTTATTGAAATTGATATATTTAGTAAGTTATATGAACAAGTTTAAGCCTAATTTAAGCTCAAGTTTAGCTTGTCAAACTAAGTTTGGCCCTGCACTTCAAGGCAACAATGATCATTATCTCTAGATATGTTTTTCCTTATGATAAAGATATATCATTGATTATGAACAAAGCATTACAACCTCCCAAACTCATTATTTTCTTTCTGCCCCCTTGACTCACTATTGTTCGCTTGGGCACTATTGCTAGAGCTTTAGTTTTAAAGAATTTTGACTCTTCTAAGCCGCAAGCATTGTATCTTCATCTATTTATAGCTTGTTGCCTCATGATTATACTTCAAACTCTTTACTTAATAGCACAAACTTATGGTGATTGACTTCAATGTATTACAAATATGAAATTATTTGGGTAATTCATTCCATACAAAATTAATGTTGAGGAAGAACATTTACATAATGTAAGCACTAATGATTTACTAACCTAAATCTCTCCCAAACGTTACTCATCAATATTGGCCATAATCCCCTATGTGCAATGCAACCCTCCTTGCCCGTGTGCAAAAACAAATTTAAATGAAGTTTGAAGTTGGTTTAAAGCAATTCAATTTG